GGAAGTGCAGAAATCAGCAAACTCAGGCAGTTCAAATGTATATAAGGGTTTATTACAAGCTTAAGCTCTTTACAAGAATCTGAACTACTCAGGGTCAAAGCAAACAGAGGGTAGATAAGAGTCAATGGAATTCAAGGTAGGCTGGACTTAGATCTCTTGTGGGCATGAAGGGATTTGAGACTAATGACACGTTTGACTCCCTTCCCTGGCTCAGCCTGGTCATCTCCTACACTGATTCTGTTAGATCTCTCATTGTCATCCCAAAAGTGCTTTCTTTCAAAAGGCAACTGGACTTTCTTGTTTTGCTGGAAGACGTTTCCCTTCTCATCCAAGAGGCTTCTTCAGTTCTGACTGAATGACAGAGTACAGAAGGATTTATATTCCTTGCAGTCACATGGTCATTGGCCCTCTTTCATATATGATCCTGCGGGCACAGATAAACCTCCCAGTGGCCTCAACGACTCTCAGAATGAGGGTTAATGACCAAATGACTAGAAGTAATATAAATCCTTCCATTCTCCACCATTCAGTCAGAACTGAAGAATCTTCTTGGATGAGAAATGAAATGTCTTCTAGCAAAAACAAAGGAAGTGCCTTTTGAAAGAAAGCACTTTTGGGACAATCATGACCTGGACCACTGAGAATCTCCATAGACATGTCACATTGTCCATCACCACCACAAAGCTCTTGCCTGCTTCCAAAATCCCACACTGCATTACTTTTCCTTGATTCCTGCTGTCTCTCTTCCAAATCCATGGCCCCATCTGCAAGCACAATCTTCATCCCTTTCCCAAAGTAGGATGCCAAGGCAAGGAGATGGTTTCCCCTTGCATCTGTCAACAGTCCGGCTGGCGAATTCAACGTTAAATAAACTCTACGGTCTTGAGGTCCCATGAGACAAGGCTTTTCAACCAGTGGTACGGGTACCACCTGTGGTACATTGGCACCTGGCAGGTGGTACGTGACCATTCTAGAAAAGTGGTAGCGGGGGAGGGGAATGAGCTGAACTGGTGGCAGCACCGCACAAGCCTGAGCGAGAGACGGCTGGAGCTGCAGGGCTGTCAGGGCTCAGCAGAAGCACCAGGATCAGCGCTTTTTCGGGACTGTCAGGGCTTAGTGGAAGCGCCAAGTTCAGCGTCAAACTCCAGCTGGAGCGGCGCTGATCCTGGCGCTTCCGCTGAGCACAGAAGAAATGCCGATCAGCTGGAATGTTGCAGCATCTCCAGGGTCTTGTGATTTACATTCAGATGTTTGGAAACTGATTCATATTTATGACGGTCACAGTGTCCCAGGGTCATGTGAAGTGACCAAAACCTGCTGCAACCACCCAGCAGACGGGGGGGGAAATAAAAACCAAACACCCCACTTCACCCCCGCTGCCAATCCTCAACAGAAATGCTCACAACAATGAAAACCTCGGACAGGAGGAAGAGCGCCGCCGGGTGGGCAGGCAAGTGTCTTGCTCGGCTGTGGCTTGGGGGGCACTTTTTTCACTGCCATTGTAACTTTGAACAGTCACTGTTGTAAGTCAAGGACTACCTGTACTTTATCACTTTTTTCCTTTTTTGGGGGGGGGTCATCAGGTTTTTGACACATTTTTAGGTGACTGGTGGTACTCGGATGTTGCCATATCCTTAAAGTGGTACAATGGGTGAAAAGGTTGAAAAGCCCTGCCATAAGAGATAACTTTTTACTGAATGCGCATCCCGGCACTGAAGAAGTAAAACCAACTCTAGTTTTCCCACGAGAAAACCTGGTTAGGCAGCAATAGTTGCCCAATCATATTCTTTCTGTTTGTTATGGGGACGGTCCCCTTCTCTGCCATACACCTGCTTTGGATAATTTTGGATCCCACGGTCCATGGACGGCTTCCTGAAACTCACGTTTCTTTCCCAAGCTCCCCTCCTCCCTGTTTCTATGGCAAGCTGAGCAGCGACGGAGGTTGGCAAGCATCTTAGCAATTCAACCTTGACCGTCCCATTCCGGAGATCGTTGTGGGGTGGCATGTCCCCTGTTCCTTTCTCCAGAAAAAGGTACCGTCGCTTCCCTGCCAGCTTTCTGTTTTCAGACCCCTTGATCGGTCTCCTTTGCTGGCAACAACATCAATTTTACAAACACTCATAAAAACATCACCGCAAACTTAAACAAAGTGCCAAGCAATCACCGGAGAGGAAATACAGATCATCCCCCTGACAGTGATAAAGGATTCCAACCTTTCCAGGATTTTATTTGCTTTTACAGCCAGCCTGACATTTCTCTGCTGAGGCTGATTCCCCGCATTTATTTCTTCCCAGTTTGGAAGCAAGCACAGATTCCATTCTCAGCCCCACTGAATGACAAGCAACTGCAAGGGAAGGTGATTACCTCCCACAGCCACCCTTGCCACTGAGATGATGGCCAGGTTTCCAAAGGCCCCAGAAGAAATGAGTGAGGAAAGTGCATCTAAAGTAAAAGTTCACATAAACTTGGGGGCAATTCTTGAAACAGGGTATTTGATAAG